GTTAATCATTAGCATATAGACATAGATCCAGACAAGTCAAACGCACCTGCTGTAACTTGAGATTCGTCCCTTCGTCCGCCATTCTCTGATGTCGAACACACACTTCCGCGCTGGAGGCTGCTGTGATGGCGGCGGTGACCCGGATTCCGTCTCTTGAGCGCTATGGTCATGGTCTTCCACATTGACCTCCGAGTCCGATTCTTCGTCGTGGTCGAGCATCGGGCTGTCACCGGTCGCCAGTCGCGGCACCGGCAGTGTATCACACACGTAGGAGTTGCTGGACGCCATTTGGATGATGATAACTGCAAGGATGAAAGCGTCCGAAAGTTTTGACGGCAAGGTCCTGGACCCTAGGTCGGTCGATCTCCGACTGCTATATATGGCCACTAACGCCACATGTCGCAATTCTCGTGTGCCGCGCACACAACAATTCAAAATTGTATTCCAACACATTCTCTCGGCGGATTGCGCTCATTATTGCATCTGTAGCCACCGCCGAACTTGATCATGCTCTTTCATATCTGACAATCTCGTCAGAATTCCACACAGGCTCGTCCAAACTTGGCCTTTCATTTCGGCCTCATTATCAGTAACGCGTATCGATCCTATGCAGTTGTGATATACATGAGTGCTAGATGCTACAGATTATGTCTATCTAAGGTATAACATATAAATAAATCAGCAGTAAGTCGCGGTCATGTCCGAAACGGAAAGCTAATGAAACGAACAAAGCACATCATTTCGTCGCCTAGACTCATTTAGTCCGGAACCCGAGCTTCTTGAGTTGTGCAGTCCTCAGCTGATAGTGCTTTTTATCCTTGACCTGCAGCTCCTCGCTCCTTTGCATCATATCGGCGTCCGTGCTCATGTGGGGATCGATCCTCTCAACATTCCTGAGATGGTGCTCCAAGTAAATAAACGGCCCATCGTTCGCCGAATCCTCCTTCAGCTCCTTGTCGATCCCAGACAGGCGCATCAGGCCCTTGACACAGTCCGCAAAGTTCACATAACGTTCAAAATTGATCAGAAAACGCCCTCCACTCTCAGTTAGCTGCCGACTAAAGGTCATCTTGCCAGCAAGTTCGTGAAGATGCGCTTCTAGCCATGGGACTGCAACTGGAGCATCTTTATATACTTTCCAATACGCTCGGTAGTTCGACGCGGGGTCAAGAATCTGCGTCATCTCGCCGAGCACTCGGCGCAACGACGCAGTAAGCGCATCCTTCATCAGCGTGAGATACTTGATGGGGGCAGAATCAAGGGCCTTAACGATGGATGCCATGGATGCAAAGTTACGCAGCCGACGACATTCCTGTTCAAGATGAGAAATCTGACTCTTTAAGCAGAAGCGGCACCTACTTGGGCAGCATGTACAAAGAACGTGAGCACTTCGACTCTCCCATCCAGTTCATCACTGCGGAGGATAGATTTCTGGATCCACAACTGAATTCTGGCACTCGTTGCTAGAGCGGTGTTGACCTTTCCGGCAGACGTGGACGCGATTGTGTGCTGCAGGTAATCGGTGGGAAGAATCGCATTGAAGCGATCCGCTTCGAGCAGCGTCAATGCTACCGCTAGGGTTTCTGGGATGACAGTGTCGCTCTTGGGTACCTTCCGACTGCCGGGTGAAGGAGGTATGGGGGCGTGTTGCGGCATCCTTGATCGTGCTTCTATTGCGTATAGAATCTCCTTGGCTTTTCCTTGCATCGTCAATGAACGTTTAGAGGAGGTTCCAGAGACACAGAACTCTTTCATCTGTGCAAGGAGCGGCGGGTCAATAGGAAGGTGAGAATCAGATAGCCAATATAGAACGACGACGTATATGTTGAGCTGGACGACAATCCGCTGACTTGTGGACACGCTCCGTCGCTCTGCATCCTGAAAGCGAAGAGCTAGGTTTTGGAAAACGCTCTCTGGACTAGCAAAGCCATGACACATGCTAAGCATAATGTCCCGATATTCAATGTCCTGTTGTAGATGTGTACTGGACGTCGTAATCAGTCTATCAACCAGCCCTTCGAGCGTTCCCGAAACTACTGAACCCTGATTGTCCACATGGACAATAATCGAGTCCGATGAGGAACAAGCAGGCTCTTCAGATGGAAACTCGGGCGAGCTGGGAGGCGGGAGCGTTGAGGAAGAAGCTTCCGAGACTGGGCTGTGAGATTGGGGGAAATGGGAGCCAAAATCTGCAGGAAGCGAGCTCGGGCCAGTATCAAAATCAATCGTGATCATATCGAGACGAGTTGTGGCAGGCGGTGAAGATGCGTTGGAAAAGCGACGAGCGTGATTGGCACTGGACACTATGTTCACGCTGGACAGCGAACTGAGCCCCTCGGAGACACTCGAGGGACTAGGTGAGGGAGGTAATGGTTGACCTTGAGGTACCGACGTTAAAGATGGGATTCGCAGATGGGTGTTCGATTTGATGCTACCTCCGTTGCTGCCTGCTGACGAAGTTCGTGGCCTCAAACTAGATAGAAGAGAATTGCGTTTCTCCTTTCTGGGAGCTGTACAGAAAGTGAATAACGGTGTTTGATACATCAAGTAGACTCACTTACAGGGAATAATACCTCTCAGCTCAAGTAATCTCGTCTTCACGAAGGATATTGATGGCCGTGAGGCGGGCTTTCTATGCCAGCACCGACGCATCAATTCCCAGAGCTCATTGTGTAATCCTCTGGGCGCAGCAAAGGCTACGGGACGATCAGGAATCTTCCCGTTGTCTAATTCTCGGAGTACCGTGATATCTCTGGGTAACGAATTGAAGGGCTGCTCGCCCGTCAAAAGTTCGAGAGCAACCATACCAAAAGACCATACGTCGGAGTGCGTGGAATACGATCCAGTGTTACGAAAGAGTTCTGGTGCAGACCACCGAGGGTTCATTGATGGGGAAGTGCTCATCCCTTGAGCACACTGAAAACGCTTAATACACTAAGGATAGACAGGGTGGGAACTTACATCTTCAAAAAACTTGGATAGTCCGAAGTCAGACAATTGTGCCGTTTCGTTGCGGGATATCAAAACATTGGCCTGTAGAAATTTGTTAAGGGCCGGGAACAAGGAAATCGCAGCGCTTACACCGCGGAGATCCCCGTGTATTATCTTGTGTTCGTGCAGATACGCTAATCCTGAGAATAGTTAGCAAATTGAAACGGTTTCAACAGAGCTCGCCACACACACCTTCAGCGATTTCAGCGAGAAGGCGCAAACGATCAACATTAGGAGACTTGAGAACGAATGATATCGCAGTTCCATTGTCCATCCATGGGCTAACCTTGTCGCTATGAGAGAGGACCAGAGAAATGTCAAACGCCATACTGAGTACGTTTCGTTTCCGATATTAGCAAATCCATAACTGGTGACAAGATGAGAGCGGAAAGCAATCAGATCCGAAAAACACCTACAGAGGAACGACATATGGATGTTTGTCTAGACTTCTCCAAATGCTGACCTCTCTTTGAAACCTCTGCAGAAAGTAAAGGATAAGCTCATTAAGTTTGTTCAAAGCTCACCCTACGGATATCGGGCGAGTTCGCCAACCCCCGAGGTAATCGCAAAGCAACCTAAAATGTTGGCGACATGTAGAGCACTATAATGGAGTGACGTACCGGTTCTTTGTCTAGCCATTGTCCTGGCTCGGATAAGTACAGCTATTCTGCAATCGTCCTTGAGAGATAACTCACCAAGGAATACGTCATTCGACGTCCCTCTCGTGACACTCGGTTGGTCGCGTTCCAATGCGACTTGACCAGTTACTTTATAGTTTGGTGAGCGACAATAGGAAATGAGTCGGAACGCGTACAGTCTTCCAACGGAGGCAATTTTGATGTTCGATCGTGAAGCCACCATAACCCTTCTCGGAAACTCTTCTCTAGATCGGGTTTAAGTGTACTCGATTCATGGAGTTCCTACACGCCTGTTCAGTGTTTAGTGTTTACAACAGGACCGGGATAACACACATTTTGCAATGACTCCATAACGTCCTCCAAGACCGCCGAAGATTGCGCGCCTAGAAGGGCTTTCATGTCATCAGTGCTCCGAACAATCTTCTGCAACAGCTCGCGGAATTCTGCTCTGTCTCTCTCTTGTGTAGCGCGCGCTTCGAGCTGAACACGCGACAGCTCCAGATTCAATTGAATCTTGAAAATGAATGGTAAACATCAACCGGTCCTGGGGCCAGCGGAAACGTACATTAAACTTGCTGATTGCTGCATCAATGTCGTGTTGCAGTCTGTCAATACCATCCTTGATTTCGCGCTGGGAAATGAAACTCCGTAGCCGGCTCAGAGCAGCCCATTCCACGACCTTTCTATTGATACGTTCGACGACACTGTACAATGATAAGACTCATGAAGGCTGTTTAAAGAGTAGTAAGAGCTTACTGGTTCACCTCGTCTATCAGTTCCGCCGCTCTGTTTCCCTCCAATCCTGTAGAGCTGTCCCGCAGGGAGAGCATCAAACTGACGCATCTCGAGCTCATGTCTTCACATTGTTTCTGAACAGACGTCAGTTTACTAGGAGAAAAGGTTTATGCGTGCGAACCTTGTACAGCTTGACGTTTTCGACTGCCGCGTACGTCCTGGTGACTATGAATCACATCAATTACGCAGACCGATAAGAGCGAAAGAACATACGCGAAGTGATAGCCACGTCCAAGCCTGGTACGCCGGAAAGAGAGATGAGGTCTTTGATGCTCATGGAGCGGAAAAGAGGGCAATGGACGGCGGAAGAGAGCGGAAGGAGGTCGACATGATATTGGGCTGTTTAGAGCCATCACAAGTCAGGCATGAGTTGGATTTAAATTGAATCGGGGCTGTGTAGACTTCTCGGCCGGTGCCTGGTTCCTTGCTCCCAGTTCCACCAACATTCCGTCTCATTCCGTTCTGGTTCTGCATGTAACTGGAGTCCTATCTGGCTCAAAGCTTGATGTAGTTCAATCAGAATATTCAATACCCAATTCCGTATCTGGAAGCTATCAGACCGTAGTGTTTTCCGCAGGCTGGGTGACCGAGTTGGTTAAGGTGTTGGATTTAAGACTTTTAAGTTTCCCAATGAAGGCGACTTCGCGCGAGTTCGAATCTCGCCTCAGCCAACTTTTTATCGATTTCGGATTGTTCCCGAAGCCCCCCCCGAACAACATGCTTATTCTGCATTTGGAAGTTACTCGGACGCGACGCGTCTCAGCAACGTGAACGTTATGTACGACGGTACCGGCGCAGTTTAAAGAAGAGTTACCTTGTGAATTGAAGAGCTGAATTTAGGATGAACCGACGCGCTTGAGCAAACTACTGCGTGAAATAGAGTGTGATAGACAAGTGTAGTGGCTGGCAGCTATGCATGTGTGATGATAATATGTGGCGAAACCTAGAAATAATGATAGTGACTAAAAGCGATCAACGTCAAAACTAATGCCTTCTTCAAAATGCAACGAGTCGAGTCGCATCTCGCCCTCAAAGGGCTCCAGTGTCGGAGTAGGTGATGGGGGTTTAGGCGTAGCGGATTTAGGAGGTGCCTTACGAAACGATGAGAGACGTCGGAGAATAGAGCGGGATGGTTTGGGAGGGATGGGATCTGTTGGAGTCTCCGGGCCGCTGTCTGAGAGACTGGTGGACGAGGTGGACATGCGGGGGAGCGAGGGCGAACTGCTGAAGAATGAGGAGAACCGTCGTGATAGAAATGACGGTGTTGGTGACGTGCACCGCTCTGGCTCCTGCTGCTCCTGCTCCTGCTCCTTTTTCTTCTTGAATGCGAAAAAGATGCTCCGGCTGCGTCGGGCCCGTGGCGGTGGTGTCGGGGTACAGTCACGCCGCCGCACCCTAACGACCTCGTAAATCTCGCTGTCCTCCCGACCTCTCCCGCCGTATCCATCATCATCCTCTTCCTCCTCTGCATCAGTCTCGAGGCCATCCAGTGCCTCGAGCAGATCGCCGTCCGCGTAACCTTCATCTGCATTGAAGCAGCACCAAGGCTCATCTTCGTCCTCCTCAGGCGGATGCACAACCACGTGTGGCCGTCGCATACCCTGCGCCGGCGATGATGGAGGTGCTGGCGGAGCCATAGTCTGTTTGAAATGAACGTCGAGGTCGTAGTAAAGGGGAAACCAAACTTTTGTCACGTGAATTCATTCTCGTCCTCCTTAATCCCCTTTTAGATTACAGCCTCGGTATCATGTGTCCATGTTCTGCTCCTTTCTTGTTCTCACTGGTTTAACTCGATTCGCTTGCCCTTTCTTGACTGCGCGCCGCTACTTCGTGTATCATGGTTCTATCACCACCTGATCGTTCCTTCACCTCGTGTCATGTTCCCCTTTTCATCAATGATCCTGAAGTCTTCAAGCTTCAACTCTGTGACGAGCTTCGAATGCACGTCGATTGTTGATGCTCGCGGCAAAACCAGCACGAGTCGCTGTATGCCAGCAGATTTTGCGCCTTCTCTTCACAAGATTCTACTGTAACTCAGCTGGTTCCGTGGCTTCTCAATTCACCGTGAGCGGGGCCATGTCTTTTTGTCTTTCTTCCTTTACCACGCCCAGTTCCGTTCATTTTAAAAAAAAACATGTTTGCCTCTTAACCTGTTATACTCACCATCAAGCCATCTCTTCTAGGTCTCACAGCTCAGTCTGACCCAGGCGTTCATGTTCATTACCTGTACCCATACACGGATGCTGAAGAGTCATCTATCCCGACGGGGATCCTTTCAAGACAATTGGCTGATTACTGTCTGTAGTACTTCGCAAATATCTCGAATTCTACGAGCTAGAACATGCAGTGGTGACATCACGAATTGATCGGATTCGCGCATCCTAAAATTTGTCCTTGCTTTTGTACTGCCAAGAGCTGGCCAAGACCACCTTGTCCTGGTCGACCGATGGCAACTGATGGCGCGGCAAAACACCCTCTCCGCTATGCCGTTTCCCAAACACCCTCTGGCTCTTCCCACCATCTTGCTGGTCATCGATTGTGACAAGACAATATGGAGAGGATACGTCTATTGCTCTTACTATCGCTATCCACTGGGTTAGGGCTCGTTCACGCATCATCATGTACCGGCTTCAACTGCAGTGAGGTTCCGCAGGGCCCAGATATGGGTCTCATCATCGGCGTCGTGTTGGGCGTTGGTGCGTTCTTTCGCTTGTTTCTCGCGTATGCCGTTTATATGATGCGTAGGCGCGGTGCTGTTTACGGGGACCTTGCTATATATATGGTGGCGTCGCCGCCGTATAAGAAATTGGCAGAGAAACTATGTGGATACCGCCCGTGTGCGAGCGGCAGCGCAGACGGATTATGAACAGCAGCATGGGACAGTGGCGATGGTGGAGCAACATCAGCAAAGTGTGATCGCAGCGCAACAGCGGGAGTATGATGCATTGCAGCGCCAGAGGGATAGTAGGCTGTCGCGCGCCACTATACCAGAACCAGCGGCTGTCCATATTCAACGTTGATCCAATGCTCGGTACAGTGAGTCACAATCGTCCGCCATATCCGCATATAATCGATCTTCACAGTAGACGTTTTGTACTTTTATGGTTTCATGTCACCATTCTATCGCATTCGCAGGCTTCCTTTCTCCGTTGAGCTCTCCTTCCAAGTTCAACCCGGAATACTCGCTTCTGCTCAGTAGCTCGTCGGTCGCATGATTGCTTGGCACACAGGGCCATCCCGATCCATCAAGCACCTAGGCCATCCCTTCCGCTGGATGCATTCATTCAACAATGCGGAAGTTTTTCCTTGTCTTAAACCTTACGCGTATTAAACAAATGCAAGTACGGTAATTTCCAGCTCTAGCTCGTGCATACTCTCGAGCATTTTCATCTCATTCAAAGATTCAGATCTCGGCGCATGCAACGGGTACGCGCACTGTAACACGCGCAAATTTACCTTATAGGGCCCAGAGTGGCCTTAGTGAATTTGTGTCAGGAGGACCGGTCTGTGCGATATTCGACGCTTTTTCAAAACAGTCTGTTCTCAGACCCACATGTGGCCTATACTGTATCGGCATACTTAGTTTGTCAGCTAAAAGACACTAGCTTTCCAGGACCATGGCTCAAACGCCATCGAAACTACATGATATCGATGCGCTTGGCTGGCAAAGTCCGGTTCCTCGACAATCCTCGTGAAGAAGCGACCAACTCCGCTGAGACCGTCCCCCATATTGATGCGTGCTTCTATGCCTCTTTTCGGGGTCTGTGATTACGACCTGCCTTTTGTCGATGGCTAAGATTTCAGATACAGGTCTTTTCTTCGTTCCGATATAGGCCTGACCATCCTTGGGTTCTGCCAGAGAATGATGTTGCTGGCTACCAGGATGCGGCGTGGGATAGCGCCTCCACGTCTTTGGCCAGTTTCCGGCGATGGTCCTTGTCTCTTCCACTCCATATCTCAGGATTAATGCATACGCATCGTAGGTTGCACTGTCGTCGCCGCGGGAATACTTCGGTAGACACGACAACTGGAGACTTCTCAGCACTGCGTTTACCTTTACGAACCAGCATACCCCTCTCTTGCGACCTGTTGGAGAGGAAAATCTTGTGGTTTATCAGTTGTTGTAACCTATGCACCTAATGGGAAGACTTGATCTGTTGCGCGCATCGGCTTAGGTTCCGCGACATCATACACAGCTTCTGTGGCGCTGGCAACAATCCAACCACCCCACAAGTGTATTGTTTACGTGGATCAAGATGGATGAGATGAACAATTTACGTGTGATGAGAAAAGAACTAACTGGTGCTGTTCGGTGGACGGTAGCGGTCCGTAGATTCAGGAACGACACAAAGGTATCGACTTGTCCGGGCTTGTATTCAACAGTTCTCTGATGACTTGTCACGTCTAGCTATATCATCGCCACATCTATCAGTTATTATAGATCCTGATAAGAAGGGAGCAGCAAGGTAGCCGAGTATCACCATCCTGCCCTTTCTCGTTGTCCTCCGTTGATAGTGCCATGTCTGATGAGGCCACATCCCCGCCCCTCAACGCAGAAAATAACTACTATCTCTCCTTTGTAGGGCTCTCGATTGTTGGCGACAGTGTCGGTCTGCTTTGCGAATCGGTGTTCTGGGCAGTGTATCTTGTCATGTTCTGCTACGCCATGTGGATACAGACGTAAGTGATGGTCTACTCGAAGTGTATGCCATACTCATCGTACTACGTCCTTGTAGACGTCGCGGTTTACGCTCGCCACCTACGATCGCAATCTTTTGTGTGACATGTGTGCTATTCGCGTCGTCGACGACCTTGTGGGTTTTGAACTTCACGGTGTACTTTACCCGAGTAAAGGAGATACTCAACGAACATGCCGACCTTGGCCTTTTGGAGCGGATATATGCAAGCAATGCTGGTACCGAACGGTATGGACTCCCAATGGAAACTCTATTCCTCTTCAATGTGGGCTACATGTTATGGTGGGTCTGTGTTCCTACTGAGCTGATTGTTCGTTTACAGATGATCATTGGAGACGGGGTCGTGATCTGGCGCGCTTGGGTGCTCTGGCAAGGTAGCAGGATGCAAAAACTCGTCGTCCTGCCGATGATCATGCTCCTCACATCCTTTAGTGAGTGTACCAAGCAATGATGGAATGCAGCCGATTTCTGATGACGTTGCCTCTAGTCTTCTCCGCAATTGCTCTTTCGTGTCTTGCAGCCAACAGTTTCGGCGGCACTAGCACGATACCTGGCGGGTCACGGACGTGCCAATGGGGAGAGCCAATAGCTTGGGCCATCTCGTTGTTGACCAATGTTACGTCGACTTCTCTAATTGCTATCAGAGCATGGTATGTTCACATTTGTATCTCGTTTATACAGAATGCTCAACCTGTCCTCGAATCCCAAGGCAACATCGTCAGTTCCTCAAATCAAGCCTCGGCCGCTTGCACCGAAAATCAATAAGTGAGAAAGTACTCGTTCTGCTTGTTGAGTCCGGATTCATCTACTGTTTCTTTTGGGTGAGTTGATACTTAATGGATCGTTCCATTTCATGTATTGATCGTCTTTGGTTCCAGCTGTCCCAGTTGATCCTCTTCTTTGATATCCAACCAGGTGCGCGAGTTATCTACCTGTACTACGTGCTGAGCACAATGGGTGACCAAATATCGGTC